GAAGACCGGCTGTATATGTTAGGAACATGAATACATGATACAATTTTATTTTTTAGTTCAGGAATAAATAATACTTCAAAAGATATTTCTGAACGATGAACTTATTGAACGTTCGAAAGTTTTCCAGTATTTCCCAAGTTTCCAATTTTTCAGAAATTTTACCGGAAAAATTTACACTATTTACAATTTTTCGGAAAATTACCCAATTGTACACATGAACCAGCGATTAAATATAGATATAGGATAGATATATTGGTTCTATTGACTAATTAAATGGCGATTTTGAAACTATCTCTGTGAACACGCGATTACTGTCAAACAGTCAATTTCCACTTTTTTAATTTTATTTGATACACTACACCACCATTTATTGGTTCTACATCAACTTATCGATTATTCAACTTAGTGTTGTCAGGTTAAATTGCAACTTGCAACAGACAAAAAAACGAGATGATATGTGCGCTTGAACGGTACAACACAATTTGACGAAAGGGGACAAACCAAAACGTCAATACAAAAATCTTTTGTTTGTTGAATGAAGTAGAAAACATAGCTTTAACAGCTTTTAATTATTGTGGCGCACACATCGTTGTTTTATTGATTAGAGAAAGCTTTACACCGTTCACCGCAACATTAAGGTAAGTAGTTCTGTTCAATAAGTTGTGGAAAATTGTCTTACTCATTATGCCACTGAAAGCGTGAAAATCCGATAATAGCAAAGAAAGTAGAACCGAAGATAAAGAAGTGTTAAACAGTTGCGAAAATACACACTTTTTGGAAAACGATTTGGTTTATGAACAAGGTACGGTCGGTCGCAATTACAAACATGGAAACTGTCAAATCACGTTTACAGTCTCCTCTAATATTGTATTAAACATTTTATCAAAGGACTGTTAATCTTTTCTTGTAGCATTTTTTTTTTCATTATGTGCGAACACTCGCCAACGTAATAGTAGTAGTAGCCATTGAGTACATGATTTGGCCTGTTACAGCAAAAAAATATTTTAAGGCTCTTATTAAAGTAAAAAATGTGTGAAATCAGTTACATATTATTTCACAGTAGGGTATACTCAGTACAGCAGCATCTACAGAAATTGTATTACTATGGCATATTGAATCTTGAATTATTCACAACTAATTTGGTCTTTGGTTGTAAGTCCTATAAATAATAATAATGAGCAAGACAGCCATACCAATATATGGTCTCAAACTAAGAAATTCCCTGTGCTATGATAACCAGAGCATCGGAATTGACTCTGGGGCACTACCCAGAACACCCAGATCAGAACCAATTTACAATAGTTTGTTTCCCAAATTGATCCAACAGGGAAGTAACCCTGGTAACTCCTCATCTGGTGTCCATGATGCAAACTGCGGGACCACTGAGATCGTTTGAAATAAATACCAAAATGTTAAAATTAAAATCTGGAAACACTAATAAACCTGAACCAATTATGAAAAATTGACCTGGGACATTATTATTATTGTTAGGGTGACTTAATTTGGGGCCTATGAGACCCCTAATCACTGCAATCATTAAATGATCTATTGTGTATTCAATCACTAATTACAGTTTGGTGCCAAGACCAACAGCATTAAGGAACTGAAGGACTTTCCTGGCACCGACAGTTTTTTTATTCTCCTCTGGGTGTGGCATGTGCCTACCCAGTATGTAACTTCTTACGTCCATGAGAGGGCTGCTCTGGGTGAGGAGAAGCACAGGAGTTTCATCCGCCTCATGGCAGAATGTAGATTCTCTGTTTTCTCTCTGTCCAATATTTGACATGTGCTTGTTCAAGCCACGATGCCCTGTTAAGGCTCTAGTCAGCATTCTGATGCCACACCTGTCCAGTGACAGAGCTTCTCTACAGTGTTCTGTACAGTGCAGCTATCAGAGCTTTTGAATGCTCAAGACCCTTAGTCTGCAGCCACACATCACGGGAGATGTGTGCACTCACGTTCAGCAAAGTGAGCTTTGCCACGCTGTGTGCTGTCCCTATGAAGGGCTCAGTACCAATGAAGCCCTCCCTAGCACCACCCTTTGCCAGTTCATCCGCTGCTTCATTACCCTCGATGTCAGAGTGGCCTGGAACCCAATGCAGGACCACATTATTCCTTTCCCCAGAGTATTCAGTATAGTTACGCAGTTCTCTACAATCCTCGAAGTTTGGGTGACTGAAGTTAGTGCATGCAGAGCGGCTTGAATATCCAAGTTCATATAAATATAATTGTTGACGTAGCCTCTCTTCAGGTTCAGATCCGCACAAGCAATTATGGCGTATATTTCGGCCTGAAAGATAGCGTAGTGTCGTCGCATGTTCAGCTTGTAGCTGAGTCTGGGTCTCACGCCGTGTATACCATAGCCTACCTTGGGTCCCATCTTGGACCCATCGTGTACCAAAGAAGGCTACCGTCCTTCCAGGTGAGACTGCTACTTTCCCAGTCTTCCCTGTTGGAAATTGTACCTGGTAGAGTTTCTTGAACCTTTGCTTGAGAGTGACTAGGCATTATTTAGGTGTGCAATGCACACAAACTATGCATGCTCCATCTTCGACGTCTCACGTGGGATGGAGGTCAAATGCGTACTTAATTATTGATATATAATTATTAATACAAAGATCGAACACTTAGAAAAATTTGCTTCAATCCGGCCGGATTCGAACCGACGTCTTCTAGCTTACCGTAGCAGACGCTATACCAACTAAGCCACGGAACGAATCGCGGGCCTCACGAATTTCTCTATGTGCTTGCGTCGTGTCTTTGTATTTGGTTTTTCAACGACTTTTTAGTCGTAGCGCCATCTATGAAAGACTTAATACCCAGTTAGTACCTTTACAGCTACCAGCCCGGGCGAGAGATTGATATATAATTAATTAAAAAAATGTACTAAAGGCACCAGCCTAGAAGGATGCGGCGCTCTACATCATCTGCGGCGGTCTGCCCATGTATATAATGTGATAACGTCGTTGTGTTGCACATTACGGTAGCTTTGAAGTTTATTGAAATATATAAATTATATCTTTTAGCGAATCCTTAATCTAAATTTGTTTGAAGAGGCTTACAAAATGTTAATCCTGATAACCTAATACATATTTTTTGTCTGAAGTACGTACATTTTATATAACATACGCATCATGCTTTGAATATCAGATGGGATTAGAAAAACATGTTTTTATTTTTCAGTAGTTACACATAGAAGGTCGTATGAACGATAACGTTTGCTTTATGCATACGCATTTATCGCAACGCATAGACCATTTTGAGTTTTAAATACATAAGTCATATGGTTGAAAGTAGGTCAGTGCTACGTTGTAATGTTATTCTGGGTGTTAAGACCGGCCTTGGTGGTTATAATGAAGAACAATGCGACGCAATTCTACGCGGAATCGTAAACGCGACGTCACGACACACCCATTTTTAGATAAATAAGGTGGTGGTATTTTGAAATGTTTTTCTACACCGGCGTAATAGGGCATGTGTTTTCGTCTGTTCTTCTCTGTAGTGATCTACTACTGTAGCATCTGCCCTATATGGAACGACTGAAAGACAGAGATACTTTTTAAACGTCCGAAAAACTTTTTAGTTCTACGTCTTCTTTAGTACTACGTATACCTATCTTCGAACGTCATATAAAATACTTTGTTGCATACGGATTCTTGGTTTTTCTGACAACATTGTGACATGTTACTAGGTTCATCGAATTTTCGGAAACTCTTTTACAAGCAGTGAAAATTTGCATAGCTTTGCTAGAGTCAGTTCTATCAATAGTATATGTAATTATTTTTCGATGATAAGTGCCTTGTTATTTTCAAAATCCATACCTAAACAATGTTTTGGTTATTTATCATGATTATCGTGTGTCGTGTACATCGCCGATTAGAACAAGACTATTTCGCACATGAAACCAAGTACTACCGTAATTCGAAAATACGGGGGAATTGAGAAAATACTAGTTGAAAGTTCAAAAAATTATTCAATGGAACCAACAAATTTGTATTCTCGTATATAAGTGAATAACAAGAGTATGTACAAATAAAAATGGTAGTCCCATTTTTATTCGCAATAAGATCCATTTAATTTTTTTTAACTTCCAAGTCGTGTTTTCTCAATTCCACTACTTTTTGAGTTACGAGAGTATTTGGTTTCATGTATTTATTTTCAAGGAGTTATTTTAAAACGTAAATAGTATACTCGGATTTCGTTGCCTATGCACATATACGTACCATTTAATAGTTATGCGGAAATATAGATAGATACCTACTCAAAGTGATAAACAACACTGAACAATGAATGTAGTTGAAGTTACATAAACAAGTTGTTGTTATTGTTTACTATATTAACAAATGTGTTTGCATTTTATACCATTTGTTTGTGCCAATTTTATATGGTAGGTACTTGCATTAATCCATAAGTTTGACTTTCAATTGCTGTAGCATGCAGCTCATCGCTATCACCAATAGTTTATGGACATTGTACTTGTTTTTCAAGTTTTACTGTACAAACATCCATTCAAATCAAGTTAACGTGACGTTAGAAGCAATATTCAGTTCAGTTTTATTGGTCTTTAAAATAGCATTGACATAGTTTTGCGAACTAGTAAAACGTCGAGGTCACATTGAACAACATTCTCTTAAAATTAGAATGGGGAAGATATGGTTTTCCAGATCTATTGAATCTGTAGTCTGGCGCCACTCCTGAGACCTTTTCTTCCGCCATCGTTGCTGTATGTAAAGCAGGCGGACGGTGTCGCAACAAAGTGGTGCGACATCACGCCATACCGCGCGATCGATTGACCGGTTGGTGGCGGGGTAACTGGGCACGTACCACGTGAGCACATGGTTGTATTTGTGACTGTTGGCTCGTTGTATTATCCATACATCGACTGATGGCTACGTCACGCGGCGTCAGGTCTCAGCCTGTACGCGTACTATTACCAATCAGTATATCGGTAGAGTCGACGCGCACTACACGCGACGAAGTTTTACCGCAGTGATCAGGGTCGTGTGCGAAATTACAGCTGTTACACATAAGCCGACTTCTTAACAAAGACGTTAAACTTTTGTCGGTACACTATTTCTTGCTATTAGTAGTACCTTTAGAGGTTCTCAGAAAAATCTACAATCTGAGCTTCTTATTAAGGTAATTTACTTTTTATTTTCCTTCTTAAATTTTATTTAATTCTTCCGAGTATTGCCTAATGCTTAGTGTTCACATGAACTTGTTATTAAGTTTACCTATTTATTTCGGTTGACACCAAACGTTACCTTAGTACTATTAACAACGTAAACAAAGTACTTAATATGATTCTTGTATCTTGTGTTTTCTTTACGTACTTTGAGATACTTCTAACTCGCTTAAGCAGCTCTACAAATAAAAAAAACTATATAATGTTGTTCTGTAGTCAGTAACACAACAACAAGCATTTAGCAGTTTCATACTTTGTTGTCACTTTCTGGTCCGGTTGAACACCTAACTTGATTGCATTATGCATTTTGTTTCGAAAAGAGTACTCCTAGTTTCTACTCAGTTTTTCGGATCGTTACGTATAACAGATTAAGGTTTGTCGACTATAGGTATAACTTTAGTTAGATAACTTTTACAAAACTAACGAATCTCTTTCAGGCTGCAACGAAAAGTAGCGTAGAAAGCAAAATATTTATCTAGTCTATATACTGAATTTCTTTTAAAATGGATCAAAGATTATATATAACCTACGTATATAAAACTATTATTTATGTAGGTACGTCATTGATGACGATACAGTTGTTTTTCAATACGACACAAGCGATTGAATTTGCAAACTTGTAAGGAACCGGATCGCTAACGTTTTATATGTCATTCGTAGCTGTTGTTACGCTAACAATTCAACGATCTTCACCTTGAAACGAGTCAGCAGAACTTGTTTCCTGACCGATAAATGCAATTTATTCACTCCCTAACTGTCACAACTGGCTGCCTGTTTACACATGGAAGTGTACTTATTAAATATTTCACATTTTCTCCACGTCATTTCTTATTTATCTCGAGAGTACCGGATCGTGACAAACGTAATATCCATTTCAAATAATTTTACGTTTGTTTTGTTTCACACTTTGCAAATTCAATTAATACTTCTTGTTTTTTTTCTCTTAAACATATATAACAGCAAACAGCTAAAATAATCTAGTACAATGCTCCGCTGAGAGAATATGGAAGTCGTAAAATGGAAGCATTTACGATGTGATGACCCCATTTCACATATCACGGCTGTTAATAACGGAACTTTTATCCCTACAGCTTCGTATAAGTATGTTGAAAACCATTCTTATCTTAAGCTAACTTATTATCATATTAAAGGAAAGGAAGTATATTTATTATTTATTAATGTCCAGCTGAAAACATCAACGTAACTTTCGCGTATTTCAATAACACAACAAAACGTCGTCGCATCGTTATGAGGTAGATGAAACATTAACAACGCACTAGTGAAAGTCGAATCAGTATCGCAAATTGTTTAGTTTTAAAACGCTTTTTGTAATGTTGAAACCAAAATAGTTACGATATATTATTACAGGTATGCCTGTAGAAAAAGTAGACGTGTTTTTTCTTGACTACGCTGTACAACCTAAAAACGAATAGAAATCTATATAAATGCACACAATCCCGTATGTGCTGCCTTCTAGTAATCATACACGTTAGATAGAGAAATACGGCGTGAACAGCCGATTTATGACGTAGGTATTTATCCTCTGATTATGATAACAATTTATACGCATGATTTTTAAGTACGTCTGCTTGCTTAATGCGACTAAGAATAGACTTCAATATTAAAAGTAATTCTTTTTGTATTTTTTTTTTGCTGCTTTTTTTAACATCTAGTAATGTGATTGTGTAAGTAATGGACATGTCGTCCACGTGGCTTGAAGAATATACCCTTCGCATGTTTCACGCTTCCGTTGTGGTGAACGTGACTAGCGATAGGGTTTCATACGTAAATATGCGCATATAATAATTATATACTTTATTTACCTTTAATAATGTGTGCTCTGTTGTTTACACAATCTACATATGTATGAAATTATCATAAACTTTCGTATGAACCGATTTTGATATGGTATGACTTCATGATAGACTCGGCTGGCCACGACTCACAAGCCACTGAAATATGGTACACGTGAGCTTCTAAAAATGAAATGGCTCCAATAACGAATGGTTCACATACAGTAAACGTTTCTCGTAAACAACTGCATACACTATAATATAAAACGTATACCCTAACTATCAGTTAGTCATGTTTGTTGCTTTCATACGTACTAAAAATGTGTACCCTTGCAATAGGTTAATTATCGTAAGGAAAAATTTCCAGAAGTTTTATTGTTGAGCCTTTCCGTCGGACTCTCATCACTAAGCTAAATTAAGACCTGGCAACATCACTCTGCTTTTACGTAGACATCCATGGACACTTGCCACGGCCATTGTAGTAATCTCCATAAGTTATTTTCCATATCGAACATTTTCCAACTATATTCAATGTTTTGTTACTATAAATAATTATATTGTGCAACAATGCTTGTTGTAAATAATGTTGATCTATGTCATATCTTTTGCTATAAACAAAGCAAAATAAAAAGTTTTTTATTAAACGATGAACGCGATAATATTGCACAACGTAGAAAATTTTCCATAGCAAGTCGTTTGTAAGTATGAAATATATAATTGACGTAAAAATACCCCTCGTATGTGGAAGATTGTAATGATATTTCATTATTGAATTGCTATTGTAAAGGATGAGTCAATGGGGCAGAGTCCTTCTTTCTTTACTTGCCAACGTCACGCACGTTGTGGCCACGTGCTTTCGAGAACTCTACCGCCGCGCCGCATGCCGTGGATTAACTGAAATCGCTTTAGTTGCCGGGGTGAATGAATTCGAGTTCCCCTACTGTACACAAATTTACCTATGCCGTTTATCTGTATGGCACTGCTGTTCACAGACTAGACAAATATTACGCAAACGTTTATTCATTGTCAACAACAGTTACTATTTGCGAAACTATGAGTTCAAAGTATAACCAATTCCGACATAGTAGGCGACCTCTTTGCTTTTTGACATATACGTTGTGTGGTAGTGCTAATTGGTTTCTTAATTTATTGGAACCAACCTGCGCGTTGCCTGCCCGTGTATTTATATCTCAACAATGCAATTTTGTGCAATATCCTGCGCTTGCGGTGCCTGGCAGTGCGTCGACCTAATAACACAAGTCATATCGCAGCCATACATACGAAACAGTATGAATAACTGCGCGAAATGCTTCCAGTAAATAGTACGACTCGGACTCATTGAGATGCATTTTTTCCAGGGTTTTCATTAAAATGTAATTAACGATATGAATATGATTGAAATATAAGTTGGGTGCTGTTTGTTAGCATTTAGATAGCCTTGAATCCAAGCGTTGGCTGCTTGAGTATACCTTTTTTCGAAGGTAACAAAAAACAATTTTTGTCATCATCCTTTGCGTACTGAGATATACTTTAAAAAACCCGTCGTTGAGTTTAAACATGTTTAATATTATTTTCAACATTTCGTTGAAGTCATCTAGTAGCAGATAAGGGATTACTCAACTACAAATATTCTTATCTGTAGCTAAAATGCAAGCGATTTTTTTGATTTTTTTTTTATGTATGATTCAATGATTCAATATGGATCACACGTAACCGGATCTTCCTTCGCATTAATCAGTAATATTAAATTACTATATGATTATTACTAGTTACAGGTTTCTTACCGGTATGACTTCTTTTTATTTTCCCGTATTTTTCCCGACATTTTCGAACGGTCACACGCTCCATGGTCACGAGTTGACTGGCCAGAGGCGGATGACAGCTTTAAGAACAGACTATTCTGTCCACCCTCTTTAACTGTCAGCGACTACCCTCATGTCGATTTCTTGCTGCGAACCATTGTCACTTTTTTACGACAAACGCATGTTCACTGTATCCACACGTGGAAGTCGAATCATTTTTGCTAAGTCAGAAGTGTAAAATGAAATCGATTAAACAAAACATTTTAAATAAAACCATAAGGTTATAAGAATACTTTGATGACCTCCGTGGTCGAGTGGCTCCATTCCTGAGGTCCTGGGTGCTTGTGGTACCGTTGTTTCCGATTTCCATAACACAAGTGCTTTAGTTACTTACTTTGAGATCAAACGTATGTGACATTGTATAATATTTATTTATTTATATTTCTTCTTCTAGTACTTCTGTGATCAGAGGTTGGAGAATATTTTAGCGTATATTGACTTTAGAGACTGCTAAACTCTAAATCAAGAGTCTGTATTGCAGCTGAACCGTACCCGCAGATTTTTCAGCCAAAAACCCCCACCCGTTCCCGCTGCGCGCATCGCAGCGACGTTTCCTTTTATGAAGAGATGAAAAATGTTGTACTTGGCGTTGTTCATTAAGTCCCCAAAAAGTGACTCTTTACTTCCTATGCTTAATGAAGCTTAAAAGCTCTAATTGCTTTCGCGTTTCATTGCGGATACAATTTGCATTTTTTTTGTCCGCCAACAAATTCTTAACAGGCGGTGGCGTTTCAACTTTACCACGGTGTTTTACGTGATAGTCCGTGATTCAACATAGTAGAACATAACATATAGCCTGTCCAAGCAACCATTGGTATTAATTAATTTTATTATAAGGCATATATGCGGTTTTAGAACAGAATTATCCGGCCACATAAATTGAATGTAATCGGTGTATTGCACGAATCGAATGTGATGATACCTTCGTTAACGTACGCTACGATCCTGATTACGCACAATTATTTTTGCACAATCGTATCCGAACCTCCTTGCTTTCTACTAAAAGGTTGTTATGGTAAACAGTAGGATTTAATTTGAGAATAGAATAGAATAGAACAGC